TTTGAGGGGATCAACATAGGTGGATAAGGGTGGTCCAGTGGATATAGTGTACTTTCAGAAACCCGTTGACAAAAGTTCCTCACCAAAGGCTCTTAAGCAAAGTAAGCTGTCATGGGACAAGAGGGAAGGTCCTCTTATGAATGAGTAACTGGTTAAAGGACAGAAAACAAAGGGTAGGAATAAATGGTCAGTTTTCACAATGGAGAGAGGTAAATAGTGGTGTTCCTCAGGGATCTGTACTGGGCCCAGTACTGTTCAACATATTCATAAATGATCTGGAAAAAAAGGTAAAGACCGAGGTGGCAACATTTACAAACAATATAAAATTATTCAAGATAGATAAGTTCAAAGCAGACTGCGAAGAGTTACAAAGAGATCTCACAAAACTGGGTGACTCGGCAACAAAATGGCAGAGAAAATGCAATGCTGATAAATGCAAAGTAATGAGCACATTGGAAAACATAATCCCCACTATATATACAAAATGATGGTGCCTAAATTAGCTGTTACCACTCAAAAAAGAGATCTAGGAGTCATTGTGGATAGTTCTCTGAAAACATTGACTCAATGTGCAGCAGCAGTCAAAAAAACCTAACAGAACGTTAGGAGCCATTAGGAAAGGGAAAGATAAGACAGAAAATATCATAATGCTACTATATAAATCCATGGTACTCCCACATCTTGAATACTGCGTGAAGGTCTGGTCACTCATCTCAAAAAAGATATATTAGAATTTGAAAAGGTACAGAGAAATGCAACAAAAATTCTTCTGTATGAGAAAAGATTGAAAAGACTGGGACTTTTCATCTTGGAAAAGAGACAACTAAGAGGGGAATGATAGAGGGCTATAAAATTATGACTGGTGTGGCGAAAGTGAATAAGGGGGTGCTATTTACTCCTTTACATAACACGAAAACAAGGGGTCACCCAATGAAATGAATATGCAGCAGATTTAAAAACAAACAAAAGGAAGTACTTGTTCACACAACACACAGTCAGCCTGTGGTACTGTTACAAGAAAACAGAACTTGACAGAACTGCAGCCATTTTGTATACTCAGCCACCATTAACTGGAAATGAGACCACCACATAGTCAGGAATAATTTGGCCTTTGCCTAAGCAGACAAAACAGCTGTACGACTGCAATGTTGCTGATAAGAATAAATAAAGTGACAAACTCATAAAATGGGAGGGAGTGTGAATAGTTGACCTTGGACCTGTGTGTCTATGACCACGAGTTTTTTTTGCTGGGACTTGCATTGCGGCTAAGAAGAATTATGAGTTATTTGCTGATGCTAGGAAAATTGTTAGCCCACTAGGGGGTTAATATAAATTATGTGCTTTGTTTTGAGCAACCTATAAAAGGATTAATTAGCGTGTTCAATTTGGAGAAGCTTGGAGAAGCTTTTGACGAGCTAGGAGTCTGACGTCCAATTTTAGATATGTGCTTTAGACTGAATAAAAACAAGGATTTTTTAGGTAAAAGCACTCTTGTGTGTACCAATCATTTGTCAGACAGAGGAGCTACATCCATATTGTTTTATGTCCTGAAACCGCCTGAAAAACCAGGACTAGTTATCATAGTTTCATGTTCACAAAATCCTGGGTAACATAACTTGTTACCAGAGGTCTGTTGTGAAGACCAAAACTACAACAGGATTTTAAAAAGAACTAGATAAGTTCACGGAGGATAGGTCCATCAATGGCTAGTAGCCAAGAGGATCAGGGATGCAATCCCATGTTCAGAATGCCCTTAGCCTCTGATTGCCAGAAGCTGGGAGACAGGATACTGGGCTAAATGGACCATTGGTCTGACCCAGCATGGCTGTTCTTATGTTCAATGGTGTGACCCATGGCCAGAAAGGGGTAAGCAGCTTGCAAGCTAATTGACCCAAATTCAACCTTCAGGGACATATTGGTTGATAATGTTTGTGTGATTACATATATATTGTTAGAGATTAACAATGTAATCATAGTCCCAGTCTATACTGTATTCTGTTAATTCAGAGATCAAAAGGACATCTTAACATTTAAATGAACTGTAAACATAGTGATGTCACTGTATTTGTCTCTCTTTGAAATGTATAGAAAATCACCTGCTACTGGTGGAGAACAGGCAATTGCCTTATGTTAATCTGTGTAGCTAATTTGGTGATGCTTAGGAAATAGGTCTACTTCAAAATCTCAATGATTGCCTATTGTTCGCCTAAGAACTCCGAGCTGTCAGGAGAAGGCCTGGAACTGGATTAAAAACCCTTTGGTTCCTGATCCTTTTTTTCTCAGATCTGCTTGATGCTTTATGCAGGGGAAGCGTGAGTCATAAGACTGAGATCTCCAGTCCCATCTGGATCACCCTGAATATGAACTTTGGACTATAACCTATGGACTAATTCAGAAAGAACTCTTTGCAACTACAAAGCTCACCATCTCTACTATGAATCTGATCTCAGAACTGTTTTCATGTCTGTATGCATACTGATCTTTTAACCAATACACTCTCCCTTTTCTTTTAAAATAAATTTTAATTTAGTTAATAAGGATTGGCTGTATGTGTGTATTTAGGTGAGATCTGAAATATTCATTAATCTGGGAGGTAATGTGGCTGATCCTTTGGGATTGGTAGAACTTTCTTATATGATGAATAAAATTTTCAGTAATCATCATATTTGACTTGGGTGTCTGTGTGGAGGCCTAAGGCTGGGTTGCTTTAAGGGAACCAGTAAGGTATTATAGAAGCTGTTTTATGCTGGCTTGGTGAATCTAAGTATTGGAATATCCACCAGCTTTGGGGATTGTCTGCCCCATTCTTTGCAGTTCACCCTAATTGAATAACCTCAGTGTAGCTCCCTGGGACCCTGGTAACAAATGGATATTCTAGGAAGAGCAGGCAAGGGATAGTGCAAGCCTATGCACTCCCTCTGTATACTGGAGAGCTTGGGTGCGATGATGCCCTCTGATTTACAACCCTTTCCTGAGCTCCCCAGGGCAATAATTACATGCCACAATATAGTTCTAAATTTTAGTGGGAATTATTACTTCAACTTTTTTAAGTTTAGTTTTCTTTCCTATACCACAGCTTACAACATTGTAAAATGCAGTTTTGAAGGACATTAATACATTTTCTAGATTAGTTGCTTCAAGTATCTTAGTGGGGAGGGAGGAGAATGACATTAAAAAGAGGTTACAGAATTTAGTCTGTGAAAGTGATTACATTATATGAGCAGCAACTGGTTTCTTTTCAACAAAAGCTCAGTAGGCTGCTTAAAGCCCAGAAATGTTGTATATATAGCAGATAGGACCCACTGGCTTGATAGGCAGAATGCTTCATAAGGAGTGTTTTTTGCTCTATTAAGGCCTTGGCTCGATTAGGGTTTAGTGCAAGTTGTAGTGTAGATGCATTGCACCAGTGTAAATTGTGATTTACAACAATACATCTTACCCTGGTTTGAAACTGAGGAAAGCTGCTTTTGCACAAATCAGAGTTGTAACCTGGCTCTCGCCGGTCTAGGCCCCAAAAACACCCAGAGACCAACCGAGGTGCAGCACCTGTGTCCTTTTGTTGTTTGTGTCCGTTCCCACCACCTACTATTTATAAGTATTTACAGAGACCAAGACTCTTGGAAACTACTAGCTTCCCAGCCAGCAGGGATCTAGAGCCCACGCTCCTCCCTTTCCTGTCACCCCCTCCTTCTGGTCTCTTAGCCAGCTTTATAGGGCAGGCTGGCTACCCAGGCCTGCAGGTGGATCCCCTCTGGTAATTAGGGCATGGCCCCTCAGCCAGCCCAACTAACCCTTTTTCCTCTGGAACAGGGCTAACAGGGGCCTGGCTTGTTTCTCCTAGCCAGCACCCTGTTACAGAGTTTACATCAGTACAGTACATCTATACTAAGGGGCTTGCACTAGTGTAGATTCATCAGTGGCTGAAATTCCCAGTGTTGACAAGGCATCAAACTATATTTCCCAATCTTTTCAGGCAACTGTTCCAATTTATCAATAAAAATACCACCTTCTAAAGATCTTGACTTTATTGCCCAAACCTCCCTTTTAATTGTGCATTCTCCTAATGAACTAGAGCAGGGATCGGCAATCTTTGGCCCGCGGCCCGCCAGGGTAAGCACCCTGGCGGGTTGGGCCGGTTTGTTTACCAGCCGTGTCTGCAGGTTCGGCTGATTGCGGCTCCCACTGGCCATGGTTCGCAGCTCCAGGCCAATGGGGGCTGCGGGAAGCAGTGTGGGCCGAGGGATGTGCTGGCCTTGGCTTCTCGCAGCCCCCATTGGCCTGGAGCGGCGAACCGCGGCCAGTTGGAGCCGCAATCGGCCAAACCTGCGGACGTGGCAGGTAAACAAACTGGCCTGACCCGCTGCGGGCCGAAGGTTGCCGAGCCCTGAACTAGAGTAAAAACACAAACATACACAGACACACATATACATATTATATTACATATGTGTGCATATCTCTATAATTTTCTTCTGAAACATCTGGTCTTTTAACTAACTTTTCCAAGTAATGGAATTTGCTTTCCCGGCAAAGAAAATTGAGAAGTGTTTTCATAAATTTTCCCCCTGCATTTGCATTGTCCCTATATATATGCCCACATGGAGAAGGGCCAAACATATGATATAAACAGAGCAAGTGCCAACTGAGACAAATTCAGTACAGCTTGGCTCACTCCAAAGGGAAAGCACTCGTTTTGCTGATGAACTGCATTTGCCGCCTACAGAAAACAAGAGTAATTGGGTTGAATCTCATTGGTGGCTGTAGTATCATGAATAGAATAGACAGCAAGAAGTACAACCACCAGATGGAAGCCTGCTAGCCAGTTAAGTCTGCTCTATTATCAGTGTAGCTATTGCCTGGCAGGAAGCAACCCAGCAGTGGGGTCTTACTGGTGAGCAGTAACTGTGTGGCTATGGGTTTCCTCTATGTGGATTTAGGAGAAAGGCATTAAGGAGGAAGGTTACCAAAAAATAAAGCTTCTTCAGTCTAATTAGTAGATATACCTGTAGCGCTGCCATTTCTTCCTCTCTCCTGTGAGTCTTCTCCAGCAGATCTGCAAGAAAGACACAAAACACAAAGCAATGAGAACTTAATTATTTGTTATTAAGCTCAACTTGAAGTGTTAGTGCCTGATAAAGAAAACCTGTGATAAAGATGTCAAGTTTTTGTATGAAATGTCATAAAAATGTGCCCTGTGAAACTGAAAATGTGTCAATGATAAGAATGCTGCCAAGTATGGGCTGTTGAGGTGATTAAAAACTAGCTATAAGAAGCCAATTTGACCCAGAAAGCCATTGAATGGGGTAGAGTTCAATTCAGACAAAAAGATGTATTTACCTCTAATTTTTCTTTATTTTAACACTTGTATCAGAAATGACCAAAGAGATCTTTTCTGAAAATGGATTAAAAATAGGAAAGAGATCAAAGACATTCAATTACATGTCATCGTTCACTCTGGAGTAAATTTTTATTACCAAGTTACAACCCCTTGAAGAAAAGGGCGTTTATTAATAGAAGTGCAGTCTTAATCACAGTCACAATAATTATCACCTTTCACCAGGAGAGAGTGAAAAAAACGTTTGATCATGGAAATGGCAAGCTCTCTGAAAGATCAGTGCCTGACAGGAAAAGTACTCACTGGAGGAGAACTCACTCTCTTGCAGTCTATGCTCCATGACACCTTACATTTTGATATTCACATATGTAACAACCACCAAATATGCAGTTCATGTTGCTGTGCACTTGCCTATTTCAGTTCCGCATAGGATTTGTCACATGAGTTGCACTACTCTTGGTTTCACTCACATACTTTGGGAATACAATTGAACTCAGGATATAGTGTGTGATGTTCACAGTTCTATCTGGGAAACCTTGACAGGTGACCTCACAAAGTCCCCAAGAAAAACAGAAATGACTGTTCTGAACACATTTTTCTTTCTAACTAATGTAACTGACAAAAAACTCAGTTCAACATCTGGCATCAAACAGAAAGAGTATCCCAATAAAGTCAGAGACGGCTTTGAACCAAGATGTGCTCCAATATGCGGGGGTGAGGGAAGATGTTGGCTTGAGAGAACTTTAACTGCCACAATAGCCTTGTGGGAAAGTACAAGTACTCAGTTCTCAGTATTTAGTCTTACACATAGTAAAAGTTTCTCAATTTCCCCCTTTGCCACTATTGCTTGATAGTTACAATGAATCACACTCCAGGAGAGAATAAGTATAACAGTAATTTGTCCTCGTTATATACTACTATTACACTGAACACAAAGGGACGTGGAAAAAGCCTTTTTGGAACAGACAACTTTTTGGTGGGCATCATTCACCTCCAACCCAAAACCATGATTACCCCCTTGGGATAGAAATAGATTCAGTAGAAGAAGGGACAGAGAGTAGTATTCCAGACCAATCAAAGAACAATCAAACCACTGCATGACTCTGGGAAAACACCCTTTAGGGAAAGGGTCACACTAGGGGAGAGGGAGAGGAATTTCTGGGATTGATGGAGTGCTTCAGACAGTTCAAATGGGGTTTCTGATAGAGCTGTCAGAAAAAAAACCCAAAGACAAGTTTATCATATCCCTGAAATTAAGGTCCTGACACCAGCACCTGAGAGTGACTCAAGTCATCTCTCCTTTGTTATGGATTGGAGCCCAGAGACAGTTGCTCTCCAAAATCAAAAAAGGGATGAGAAAATCAGACAGGACTAACATCATTCAGAAAATACACAAGGCGGCAAGATTTCAGATGGAATCTCTAAAACCCATAATAGCAAGTCTCTCTCAACATACCCATACTGGAGCGTCACTAGTAGTACATATACTTCTACTATTACAAGGGACTCTTCCAGCCAAAAGCCTTCTCTTTTGTCCCATTGACAGTTTTGAGGGAGTTTACCAAAATACCAATGGTTTTAGTAGCAGTCCTTCTACTCATTCCTATACAACCTGCAAATCCAAGCTTTCTTAAGAAAAAGGCCATTACAGAAACAAACACCCAAATCATTCCTATAAAAGCAAGTATGTGGCAAACATAGATTTGAGCCATCCAATCCTGACATAGGTTTCAACAGCTTGGTAATAACTCAAGACAGAGACAAAGCCAAGGGCTCTATTTAACATCCTACTTGGTGCAGGAAAAGAAGTGAAGGGCAAAGGTGGTTTTATGCCACTTTTTCACCTCCCCATATTATAGGGTTATTTTGGTCTCCTGTATAAATTAGAGCAGCATGGCAGGTGTTTGTCTAATCTGTCCTTGAAAACCTCCAATGATGGGGATTCCACAAGCTCTCTTGGAAGCCTATTTCAGGGCTTAACCATTCTTATATTTAGAGAGTTTTTCCTAATATCTAACCAAAATCTCCTTTGGTGCAGGTTACACTCTTTACTTCTCCTACCTTCAGTGGATATTGCAGAACAATTGATCACAGTCCTCTTTATAACAGCGCTTAACAGGTCCTCCCTCAGTCTTCTTTTTTCAAAATTAAACATGACCTGTTTTTTTAACCTTAGCTTATAGGTCAAGTTTTTTAAATCTTTTATAATTTTTGTTTCTCTCCTCTGGATGCTCTCCAGTTTGTCCATACTGTTCTTCAAGTGTGGTGCCTAAAACTGGACACAGTACTCCAGCTAAGATCTCACTAGTGACAAGTGGAGCAGAACAATTACCTCCTGGCTTACATGAGACGCTCCTGTTAATACATCGCAGAATGATATTAGCCTTTTTTGCAGCTGCATCATATTGTTGATTCATTTTTAATTAGTGATCTGCTATGATCCCGGATCTTTTTTCAGCAGTACTACTGCCTAGCCAGTTGTGCTCCATTTTTTGTGCATTTGATTTTTTCTTCTTTGCCCTCGATTTAATGAATTTTTGTTGATTTCAGACCATTTCTCCAATCAGTTGTTTTGAATTCTAATCCTGTCCGCCAAAGTGCTTGCAACTCCATCCACAAATTTTATATGCATACTCTCCTTTGCATTATCCACATCATTAATAAAAATATTGAATAGTACCAGACCCAGGACAGACCCCTCCAGGATCTTAAAATATGTCCTCCTAGTTTGACAGGGAACCATTGATGACGACTCTTAAAATATATTTTTTCAACCAGTTGTACACCCACCTTATGGTAATTTCATCTTGACCATATTTCCCTAATTTGCTTAAGAGAATGTCATGTGGGATAGTGTCAAGAGCCTTAATAAAATAAAAATATATAATGTCTACAGCTTCCATCCTATTTATTAGGCCAGTAACCCAATCAAAAAAGGAAATTAGGTTGGTTTGGCATGATTTGTTCTTGACCAATCCATACTGGTATTACTTATTACCCTATTATCCTCTAGGTGCTTACAAACTGATTGTTTAATAATTTGTTCCAGTATCTTTCCAGGACTCAAAATTAGGCTGACGGGTCTATAATTCCCTGGGTTCTCTTTGTTCTCCTTTTTAAAGATAGGTACTATGTTTGCCCTTCTCCAGTCCTCTGGGAGCTCACCCATCCTCCATGAGTTCTCAAAGATAATTGTTAACAGTTTCGAGATTGCTTCAGCTAATTCCTTATGTACCTGAAGGTGAATTTCATCAGGGCCTGCCAACTTGAATACATCTAATTTATCTAAATATTCTTTAACCTGTTCCTCCCCCCCTTGCTAATTTAATTATGTTAAGTGGCTAGTCACAAAAAAACTTTTTAGTGAAGACTGAGACCAACAAAATTAAAGGCATTAAAATGAACACCTCAGCCTTCTTAATGTCATCTGTTATTAGCTCTCATTCCCCCCTAAGTAGTGAACCTACACTTGCCTTCATCTTTCTCTCATTTATAGATTCATAGATTCCATCTAGACCAGTGGTTCCCAAACTTTAACAACCTGTGAACCCCTTTCACTAAAATGTCAAGTCTTGCGAACCCCCTCCTAAAAATGAATATTTCCAGGGATTTTCTCCTTTACCTGAGTATAAATTATAAAAGCAATGATCTTGGAAATATAAAAAATGTTTTTATGACATGCTTATTACACACTATTATTATTATTTATCATTACAGTATTTTTATTACATTATGAAAACCGCAACACTCTTCCAAGATCTCACTTTCATGGCTTGTATCACTTTGAATAAACCTCTTATAAGACAAGGCTCCTATGTTTCATCAAGGAGTATCAGATGTGAAACAGCAGGAAGGTATTTAAGGAGCCAACTCAAAGAGTTCCTCCTACACAAGCATTCAGGTCTTGAGCAGTCCAGGCAAACAACGCACGTTACAACAAAGCTTAAACTTGTTCTTCATAATAATTTTATTATTATGGCACATCAGGTGGCAGCTCCCAAGGGGGGTTCTGTGATCCAACCCGTCAAATGCTTGCTTTCATCTGCTTAGCTCTTGGAAGTCCAGGGGCTCTGGGCTGCTGGCCCCGTGCTGCCCAAGATCCCTAGGGACAGCTCTGTCCGCCATTAGGGATTTTTTTCCCCCGAGAACCCCCGTAACATTTCGCGAACCCCAGTTTGGGAACCACTGATCTAGACTGACCTCCTGCGTAACATAGGTCATAATACTTCCCCAAAACAATTCCTAGAGCATACTTTTTAGAAAAAAACATCTAATCATGATTTAAAAATTACTAGTGATGGAAAATTCACTACAACCATTGATAAATTGTTCCAATGGTTAATTACCCTTACCATTAAAAATTTACACCTTATTTCCAGTTTTAATTTGTCTTGCTTCAACACTGATTGTGTTATAACTGGACGGTGTTACAACTTTTTCTGATAGATTGAAGAGTGCATTATTAAATATTTGTTCTCCATGTAGATAGTCATAGACCATAACCAAGTCTCCCCTTAATCGTCTCTTTGTTAAGCTAAATAGATTTGGCTCTTTGAGTCTATCACTATAAGGCATGTTTTCTAATCCTTTAATCATTCTTGTTGCTCTTTTTTAAACCCTCTCCAATTTATCATGTCTTCTTGAATTGTGGGCACCTGAACTGGATGCAGTATTCCAGCAACAGTTGCACCAGTGCCAACTATAGTGATAAAATAACC